GGCTCGGCGTACCATTGATGATTACGACTCAATGAATTGTGTTCTCTACAAACCGAACATGTGATTGTGTTCCGTCTGCCTGTCTCCCCGCTCCTCGTCCTCAAGTGCAGCCAGAGTGAAATATGGGGTGAGGATGGAGGAATTTCAATGGCTGCAGAAGCAGAAGTCTGGGGAAGATAGACCAGCATGTGGGTGTCGACACTCCACCCCCCCTCCTCCTCCCCCGTGCCTCCACCTACACAGCTCCTCCAACCCTAGGTTATAAGCTGCCAACAAGCTTCACACACCCCACCCCCGAAAAAAAGTCGGCTGCCAATTGTGCAGCTACTTACCTCCACACAGCCCAATAAAAAAGGAAACAAAATGCTCATTTCCAGGCACATATTAAACACACTTTGCCAGAATGGGATTGGCAAACCACGGAGCTTTTTCATTGGTCTAACAATCGTCAATATATATATATATATAAAAGGACCATTAAACAAAGATTCAAGCTTGATTGAGTGTGACCGCCGAGGCGACCGCAATCTGCAAATGTACAACAGACGTGGGCAAACGTGAAAACACAACGGATCCTCGGGACAATAATTTGTGCAAAGTGAATCAAAGGTTAGACTCTACCTAAATGCACTGATCTCTGGGTAGATTATAGAGCCACGGTTTTAATTCTTAACCCCGTGACAGACTGAACAAAGGGTACGGTTGTTTTGGAGAACATTACACCGCACAGTCGCAAACCTAAAACCGACATATGATGTTTTTCTTGGCAGCGAACTCCACCGGGATGGGAGTAAGTAGTACGTGTGAGCACAATGGTGAAGTTGGATGGAAGGGAGCAGCGTGGCTCGTATAGGGCGGCGGAGGTGTGCTGTGTGATAACTTTGTAGGGTGAGGTAATGGGAAAATAAAGGTTTTAAAATAGTTGCTGAAAGACAGGTTTTTATTTTAACCGTCTGGTATGTTTATGAGTTCATCTGAGTTGTCGTCATTTATAAACTCACGTTTCCCGAAAAGTTGATAAACTTCCTGTAAGGCCAGTAAAATCTCATGTACTTTATCTGGTAATGCACCAAAACCAGTAAAATCTCATGTACTTTATCTGGTTATGCACCAAAACTTTTACTACTAAGGCAAAGGGACGAGGAAAAGGTTTTTTAAGGGGGGTAAAAAAAAATTTGATCCTGAAATAATGAGACAGATGAGAAGTAAACTGTGTGTTGTCCCTTGTCCAATCAGATGGTTGACCCCGCCCACTACTGGGTCTTGAACCTGTAATGTGATAAGATTCAAGGAACTGGAAAATCGAGGCCAAGGATGAAAAACTTGCGCTAAACGTTTCTGACCTTTTCACCTTTGCATTTGTCTAGGATTGTGTTGCAGGTGTTCAGAGTTTAGATTTACTTTGACAAATTAAATCAACCACTTCAAAAGGCCTTGATCTTTTGTCTGACATCAAGTCAGAGTCAGAGTCAAGAACGTTACAAGAGAACAGTTTCTTTTTTTTTTTTATTTTGTGTACAGAAGTACACCAACTTCTCTGATGGTTACAGCTCATGTACAACTTCACATCAGTCTAAACTCTCTTTTTACCTTAAACGTTTTAATCTGCAGTATTTAAGTGTTTACTACAAGAGATTGAACTCCAATTTACATATATATTTACATATATGTAGTATACACAGTATAAATATATACTCTATGTATATATATATGTATATATATATAGATAAACATATATACATTTGTACGTAACTATATGCACATATATGTATATATGCATATTTAGGTTCTCTCTCTCGCTCGCTCTCTCTCCATATAGATATATATTAGAGAAAATATATACATATGCAGTATAGATAGAAAACATATATACACATATTTATACTGTATATATACTGTATATATATATATATAAACATATATATGCATATATACACACATATATACAAATATATGATGAGAGAGAATCTACACTTTATAATTAAAAAGGTTTAAGGTTGTAATTTGGTGGTTATGGTTGATTTATGGTCAAATGTAGGGTGTTAAAAACACTTCCAAAGCCCATAAATAATATTTGACAATACATTATAAAACACATACAAACAGTGACTCATCCAGAGCCATAGTAACTTTGATTAACATCATCTGTATCTGACGTGGACTCACCGAGTGCTACCGAGCACATCTGTCCCAGAGTGGAGAGCTTTCACCGGACCTGGGGTCACAGTGACGGTGGGCCGCACTTTAGGGTTGAGGGTGAAGCAGTCTCTGCCCAGCATCCTGTTGGCCAGGTTCAGTCTGGACAGCTGTGAGAAAAAGGAGAAGAAAGAGTTCAGCTGACAACTCTGAAGTCCAAACAACAGGATTACATGTCCATTATAAGAGAACTGTGTGCAGTATTAGTGGGTTATTGTTAGTATTTACTGTAAATGAGTGTTAATTCACATCTGTGTAGCTGCAGTAAGGCTCACAGCAGGAGTCTGTGATGATGAAGTGCTCATGTTAAAAGCTCCTCCACATCCACTACTTTATTCTCCTGTATCTGGAGGCTGGTGGAAATGTACACACAGCACATGGCACAGCTAGTCTCCACTCAGCACTAAACCCCGCTGATCCCTCCCTCCCTTCCACCCTCACCCCTCACCCCCCAACAGAATCAGCTATTATAGCTTGTCGGGGCCGAATCTGTTTACAACCACATCAGCACTTCTGCAGCGACTGCACCTCAGCACCGGCCCCGCTGCCCTGTGAACTGTGCTGCGTGTTGAAATCAAATGTACAAATTAATCACTCCACTCCGCAGTTTTATTTACTTTATTTCCTGCTGGGTAGCACTAAATGCCCAATGGGAAAACTGTGAAGCTGCCAAACATTTTAGTGTGCACAGAAATGTGTCAGCACACACAGGTTTACTGCCACCGCCTACAGACTCTCACTATAAAGAAGAGAGGCTGGGCTCCCTAATATATGTTTGCTCTGAATGACACAAAAACAACATGTGCTGTTGATGGAGGCTAGTGTTACAGGCGTTAGTAATAAAAATACCTGAAATCATTTATGCTAGGACATTAGCATCTGGCAGTTTAACTTATTAGAGGCCATGTATTGTGTGTCGTGCTACGCACAGTTACACAGGGTTTAAGTTAGGGTTTAACGTTAGTAAAATATTTGACCAATTGTAGGCCATAATATAAGATTTTAGAGGGAAAACGTTAGCAACCTGACTATCAAAATAGATTTTTAAAAAAGTCAGAAAAACAGCTGTGTATAATTCATTCAACTCTTATGACTTTTGCAGTAACATTGTGCCTATTACATCAGCTATTCTACATCTGTACATTCTTGGGACAAAGATTTAGCTAAAAATGGCTAAAATGTAGTCCAGTAGTAGGTTATATTTAGCCACAAAATATTTAAAAACAAAACTAATCAAATTACAAAAACAGGCAAAAGAGAGAGATTAGTGAAAAGCGCAACTCATTTGTGATTGTTAGCAAGGTTAGCATTTACCATGTCTAAATTCACAGCTGAAAATTTAATTGTAATATTTATACATTCCTACTATCAGTAGTTATCATAGTTAACACGCTAAAAGCTAGCCACAAAAGGTTAGAATAAGATGGGAAATAAATAAAAAATACCCAAGAATAACTACAAAAATAGCAAACAACCAACCAAACGCTAGTTAGCAAAGTTAGCATAGGAGGTGTCTGAATCAGAAAAACAGTGAAGTTACTCAGTATTAGCATGTAGAATAAACAGCTAACTTTAGCAAAAACCTGACCAAATGTTAAACAATGGCTTCTGACAAATAAGTTGACGACTGTTGTTGTCGTTGTTGTTCCCGTAATTTAAAGAACTGGCGTGGGTCAAAACCACCTGTAGCTTGAAATCAGAGGGAACATTTCAGATAGCGCTAACAGATCAGAGCAAAGAGCTAAAACTAAAAAAATATAAAAATAAAATATACGTTTTAGAATGTTAGCATGTTTTGGCCAATTTTAAAAAAGCTACAAAATAATAACCTCTGTTACCTGTTCAGCTAGACTCCCACAGCTTATTATTATTTATATTATTATATTATTGTTGATACAATCTTTAAAAGCTAAATATTACCGGACATTTTATTTTAAAAAAATGCTCCTTACCACATTTAAAATGGCCACAGAGAGTTATATTTTCTCCCCTGCTCCACACCTCTCCATGCACAGACACATAAATGACTGTGTATACAGTGCGTGGCCTTACTTGGGAGTGAATAATTATGATAACCTTGGGGGTGAACCAGTGAAACAGGGGTGTTGTACCAGTTTATAAAGGACTCCGTTTATTTCAGCCAGTGATTTAATGACTTCAGATACGAGTTCTAAAAAACACTGGACTGTTTCACTGTGAAAAATGCTGCTGCCCTGCCTAAGATTAACTGTTCGTAGCAAATATAGTAAACACCTTCCAGGGCAGGCAGAATAATGTAGAGTGGAAAGGAAGCCATAAAAAAAAAAAAAACTACAGTCTGTGTGGTCTGGTGCCATCACAAAAAAACTTTGACAGGAAAAAAAAAAGGGAACAGTGAGGCGGAGCAGGAGGGAGAGGGAGGAGAGGTAGCAGGGCTCACTGCGCCAAGTGACAAACCTTTGGGGAATATGGGAGAAGGTGGTGATGGAGCCTGTGAAGCTGCCGCTGCCCTGCCCGCTGCCAATTTGCCACATTCCTCTATTTATAAGCATCAATTACCACAAAAGAGCGGCTGCGTCTTAAGTATCAACAGAAATCACTCCCCCATGGTGCATCTGATAATGAGACCTCACACAGAGCCGGGGCTTGATGCGGCTCACCGCTGTTTGGGCCCAGCCAGCTTCAACTGCACGGTTCCAGACTCACCCCCGCACCAGCCCCAGCCCACAGGCTGCAGGCAAGCTGAGGGCTAGGGAGGAAGGTGCGCGGTGAGAGGCAGCAGACCCTCCGGCACCAACAGGTCTGCTGAATGAATGAGCAGCTAGCTGCTGCGCATCAGCGTGGGGTCAGAGCCAGGTTTACACATCAACAAAGAGAAATATCAGAGACCTCACAGTGAGAGAGTGACTACTGCAGCGGGGCCAGATTCCTCCGCCGTTCATGAAATGTTGCAGATCAGATTACCGTTGCTTAATAACTGCAACATTTCTATTCCAACACTGAGAGACTGAACTTCCTGCTCCACGTGGGCGTAGTCGTTGGTACGACAGGGTCACGGAGGGTGAAACATGATGGACTCACGTGCTGCGATAGCAGGTTGATGTGGCTGGAGCTGGCGTAGTGGCGGGCGACCTGCTTGTCTGCCAGTTTCTGCAGGGTTGAGATGAGAGACTGATGGTTGGACTGGGCCTGAGTGGACAAGGAGGTGAACTCCTTATAGACTCCTCCTGGGTTTGACTTGGGCCTCGAGGAGCTGCTCCTCCTGTTCACTGTAGATTGAAAGAAGGAGAAAAATCAGACAAGTCAAAGCCCAGATTTACAAAAGATTGAAAGAAGGAGAAAAATCAGACAAGAAAGTCAAAGCCCAGATTTACAAAACACATTTTTTTCAATGGACTTTACAGTTTGAAATAAGAATCAGAATTAGACATGAAATATCATTGAAATAAGAATCAGAATTAGACATGATCGTACTAAAAAAACACATTCAACAGGGGGAAAAAAAATGGAGGTACATATATATCAGGGGGGTTAAACTTATTTTGGTTGACGGGCCACATACAACCTAATTAGATGTCAAGTGGGCCAGATTTGTAGTAGTAGGTAAATTAGATATTTATTACTTAAAATAAAAAAAAATCACAAATAATTTATATTCAGGACATTCATATTTCTTCAAATTTAAATGTCCTGAATATAAATTATTTGTATATTTTTTCTATTTTCAGAATTCATCAAGCGGTCTAAAAACCCCAGCGGGCCGGTTTGGCCCCCGGACCGTATGTTTGACACCCCTGTTATATACAATCACTGCTGACAGTAGGTTTAACGTAACACAAAGTAAAGCAGAATCAGAGTAAGTATTTTGGCAACAGTGGGGAGAAAAACAGCCCTTTAACAGACTCAGTGTTGCCACCTGCTGACTTTATTATGAATGAACAAATACAGTAGGATCATTAATGATGGTTGTCAGGTCTGGATCACGTCCTGCAGTATTAGAGTCACAGCAACCTACAGGTAAAGACAGTGACAGCGAGAGAAAGCACTCAGTGCATCATGGGATTTCTCCCAGCGGTCTAGGCCTATAGGAGCATAACTAAGGGATCCTGTGGTTCCATAGCAGTGACCACACCTGCCTTTCACACCTGCCACACAGGCAGCAGGACTGGGGTTTGAATTGCAGAGGAACCACATACGTAGTGGCGCCTCCTGTGGCCGTATGTGTAGATCGCAAAGACTTAGAATGTGATTTCCCCATTGTATTATTTCAGGGTAGCTGAAGGCTCTGCCTCCCACTCTACTCTATACACAGCGATGCTACAAGATTTTAGCAGCAGAGAAGAACTTTACCTTGACCAGCAGAGGTCGGTCTGGAGAACTTCTGGCTGTAGATGTGTGTAGCACTCGGGAAGGAAGAGGGCGCTCCAGAGTGTGATGTCGGCGAGTTAAAGGACTGGATCCTCCTGAGCCCCTGAGTTGACTGCACAGTTGTGACGGCGGGGGGGGTGGGGGGACCCACCCCCCCCCCCGCGCCTGC